ATGTCGTGATGTTTCTCTGCGGAAACAACTATACTCCACCTATTTCCGTCCTCTACTTGAATTTGCTATCCCATTTTGAAACCCTCATTTGGTGAAAGACGAGCAAGTTATTGAGAAAATACAACACAGAGCCACATAGATACCGCACAAATTGAAAAATTTAAACTATCAGTCTAGATGTGAAAAACTTGGCCTCACATCTCTAATTGACCGCCGTAAACGAGGTGACCTCATTCAGAAATTTAAAATTGAGAAAAACATTGACATAATTAACTGGCATTTTCCTCCTATTACAATTCCGCCGAGAGCTAATCACAGAGAGAGATTTCACCGGGAAAAATATAACAACAATTTAACTCGCTTTAATTTTTTTAATAACCGAATTATAACATAATATAATAATTAACCGAATTACCATCACATGAAACAGCTTGCCAGATAATGTAGTCTACTCTTCATCTGTCAACAGCTTTAAAGCGAGACTTGATAGGCTTCAAAGTTACAACAGCTCGCAATTCCCTTTGATGGAAAATGTATTATGAGCTTCACAAATGTTATCTATGATTTGACAATCTACATTTGTATTCTGTCAATTGTCTTTACATTTGTTGTAACAAATATATACTACTACTACTACTACAACTACTATTACTACTACTACTACTACTACTACTACTACTACTACTACTACTACTACTACTACTACTACTACTACTACTACTACTACTACTACTACTACTACTACTACTACTACTACTACTACTACTACTACTACTACTACTACTACTACTACTACTACTACTACTACTACTACTACTACTACTACTACTATATATATATATATATATATATATATATATATATATATATAGTCATAACAGTTAAAACAAATTTTTATATTGAAAAAAAGTTGAAGCAATCACCAGAAAAATATCATACATATAAAACATATTTAACTGAAGTTAAAAAAAAAATTATTGAAATCCTACAGTCAGATTTTTAGAAAAGTGATTTCAAATAAATAAACAAATCTATGATTTACACTCAAAAAGTATTAAGTAAAAATACAGTTTTAGAGCGCAAAGATTTTTGTTACCTCTATTTATTTATATTTTTGTGAAATTTTTGTATTATTTTATTGATTTACGTTAAAAATAACGCTATATCATTGGCTTTTCAGAAATTAATTAACAAATAAACTGTTGCCATATAAAATATTATCTGTAGTTAGAACCGTAGCCATTTTAAAAGTTCAAAAATTTTTCGCATTTTCTCACGCATGCGTACCTAAACATAGCGCTTGTAAACGACCGTGCACGGCTAGTTAATTTACGGATCCTAATATCGCTTTTAATATATCAAAGAATTTGAAGACCTAACTTATGTCATAAAAACTAAATAATTTAAGTTCGTAGGAAAAATTTCTCCAAAATAGGTTTCATTGTTTCTAAAAGTGTGAAATAAGCTATTTTGTATGATGCAAATAAAAAAATAAACAAAATATGCCCACATTAGGTTTTCGGGGTTCAAATACATGTTAATTTAGGGTATTCGCCGTACTTTATTTATTTTGTTTTTTTTACCATAAAAATTTATTCATAACATAAAAAATATGTAAATACAAATAGCAGACGCAAGAAGAAGACATATCTTATCGCCAAGCTCCTGAACCAATACCATAATACACGATAATAAAATATAGAAATATTAAAACTAGAGCACGAGAGCATATAAAATAATGTTATATAGTATTGGTTTCATAATAACCCAACATGGTCAATTTTTAAAAAGCTGTTTTTTTATCCATATCATCATATTAGTACGTAGAACCTTCATGAAAAATAACAAAACTGAAAACCATTTTTTTCGAGAGATATGATCTTACAAAAAAACAAAAAAATGTTATGATGTTAAACTTGTGACGCTATTTGTTGGGTCATAGACTAAATTCTAGGCATGATATGAAAGTTCTAATAAATAATTTGCAATCTGCACCTTCGCTTTATAAAGAATCAAATCCAGTATAACTTTATTAAAAAAAATATAAAACCCGAAAAATACGATTTTCAGCAACTGATGAATATTGAAATATGGGTAAACCTTACAAAAACAAAATCCAAAAGAACTAACATTTTGACATAAAACTTTGGTAACGTCCATGAAGCATGTATAAATGTATATTAACAAGCTTTGATTAAAATCTGAGATAGTCGAGTGGAGATGATTCCGAAAATTAGACCGTGTGGCATGGAATGACCTTATATCAAGTTAAATTGCTAGAAATGGTTTATTTACTAATAACTATCAACTAATAACACGCATTATAATAACTAATAATAATAAGAAATATAGTATTAACTAATAACTCGCATTGCGAGCTACCCGCAACTGCTATTAATTATTTTGTCGTGAAAAGTGATTCGAAGCGGCATTTATAGTTTTTAACGACTTATTTCCAAAAACACCTGATATAAGAACAGAGCTCACGAAAAACTATCAAACTCAAGTAAAGTTTTATAAAAAGAATTAAATAATTACACTATGAAAAATATAAAAATAAAAAGGCTTCATAAATATTAATACTCATTTTATGCGATGATTGATTGTTTTAAAGATTAAGTTTGAAAGTTCCAATTTAGTGCGAGTTGCTGAAGTGATGTGTAACAATCTTTTTCAACTTCAATATTTTCACGTATTTCCGCTAATTTCCATGCAAGATCAGATTTTGTACCAAGGTAAATTTCAAATGTTTTAATGTCATTTTCTTCAAGATGTTTTTTTAGTATTAGGTGTATGTGATTACCGCGTCTATACCCTATTTTTCGTAAACTTCTGTAACATTCTTCTATTTCGTTTTCTAACATTAGTATTTTTCTGATAATTGCGTTCTAAAATTAAATAAGTTTAAAATGAGCAACTTTGGCTGACAAAAAATTTAAGTATTTATCGTACAATTTACTTATTTTTTGGATTACTTAAAATAATTGATATTTACAAGTGTGAAGTTTAACTTACTAAACTTTTTAATGCGTTTGAATATTACTTACAATAAAGTAATTATATAAAGTTTTTCTTCTTATCCAAATCATGAGTAAATAAATCTTAAAAATATTTTAAACTAAATGGAAAATCTATTTGATTTGTTACAGTGCAAAATGAAAATAAAAAATAATAAAATCTATACTTTTTTAAAACTTCTATCTTCCTCGAGTTCATGAAGTTCAATTTCATAACGATTAACTTTTTGCGTGAGAAATATTACTTTATTCAAAAAATTGTTGATCGATTTTAAAAACTCTTCAATTTTTAAAGTTTCATGTTTGTTAAGAATATCGATAATACTATATCCTATCGCCTCGTTTCTGCTAATTTCATTCATCGTTTCTGATTCTTGTTGTTGAAGATTAACAATATTATCGCGTTGGCTTTCAATTAGCTTTTTTACCTTTAAGCAATAAATAATAATCGATTAATAACATATAATATATATATATATATATATATATATATATATATATATATATATATATATATACACGCAATAAACTAGGTTTGAGTAATTGCAACAACAATATATTTGTATACATAAATATGGAAGACTAATTTTACTTTTTCAACTGCCAATTCGAAAGAGTTGCTTTCAACTTTATTTTCTCTCTAAAAAAAATATTTAAATAAAATATTTTCTAAATGAGGTTTGTTTGCAGAGACTTGTAAACGTGGCTATATTCAGAGTGTTTAATTGTTTTGTCTAGGAAATATAGTTTTGATTTTTATCACTCGTTAGATCTAACATGTGATAAAAATCAAAACTTTAAGTGATAAAAATCAAAACTATAGTCTATAAAGTGATAAAAATCAAAACTATAGTCTATAGACTTAGGTTATGTTTACCATAAATTAAACCTTAGGACTAATATTCTTTACCTAAAAACTAATTAAATTAGCAATATAATATCTAAATTTTTAACAAAAGTAATGTCGCTAAACTTAAATAAAACTAAATTTAAAGAAAATTTGAGCAAATATTTGAAACCAAAACTAAATTTTAGTACTTTTAACTTAAAAAAGCAAAATAAAAAAATTGTAATATATTAAGTTATTTCCGCTTAAGACAATAATAATACTTTAAGTTGACGTAAAAGCGAATTAAACCCAGTTTTTAAAACTTAGTTCTATCATAATAATTATTATTATAATTATTATCATTATTTTTATTAATAATCGGTGATTAAACTTTTTAATTTCTAACAACCCTTCACTATATAATAGTATAGTGCAAACGTCAAATTCGGATTGATATAATCGAGACTATAAAAGTTATACCCAAGGATTGATATAATCGAGATTGATATAATGGAGACCAAAGGTTATAGATAAAGCAAATTCAAATATATAATGTAAAGTTTTACCATTTCGAATTCGGAAAACAAAGTATCTTTTCTTGCAATATTATCAGTATAGTCAGCGAATTTATTATCTTTATCTTGCATTAAATTGGGCAAAGATGTACTTAATTTTTCTAATTCACATAGTCTGAATTTATAACCTTCAAATGATTGACTCTTAGATAAAGCATGAATCGGCTTGATTGTTATAGCTTCTAACTCGGTCTAATTTGAATTCGAAAAAAAATTTAGAAGTAATGTTTATATAAAAATTATATTTTAAAATTTAAAAAGAGTAACAGTTACATGTAAATGCTGGAAAGTTAAAATTTTACCTTATTTTTTTGAGAAATGTTTGATATGCTTGTTTTACTGAAACAACTTTGTCTCCAGTTTTCGGATGATGTATCAAGTAAATCCTGGTTTGTTATATCAACTTTGTTGCAATTGGGTGCAGCTAAAACATAACTTGGAGTTATAGGATTAAGTTTTCCCAACATCGATGACGAATTGCAATTTTCTATAGGTTTTACTGTTTCATGATTGTCAAAATTGTTGATATCAGATGGTATACTACTCCAAGTAGAGAAATCTTTACTTTCGTTTATTGAGCTACAAGTAATTACAATAATTTACTTAATTATACGCATTATTTAATACAACTTGTTATTTTCATTTAATCGTTTTTTTTTGTTCTTTTAATCATTTTTTTCACTTAGTCATTAATCATTTAATTATTTTCATTAATTAAATTTAAAAAAATAATTTTTTTAAATCAATTAAAGAAAATGAAACTTGACAAACTCAGGAAAATATTATAATAATGCTAATCTCGTTTGTACTTATTCTCAAGAATTTTTTTATTATAATAATTAAAAGCTCACTTACTTTTGTTCTTTTGTTTCTGTTGATCTCACACAGCAACATAGGTTTCTTAGAATTGAAATGAATTTCTTTTTGGCGGAAACCATATTTTCAAAAATAGAAATTTGTTTTTGCAAAAAATGCGTAGTAATCGCTCGTTACAATTATAATTTGTGATTCTGACTCTGATTCAATAACTTAACTAGAAACTTGTTAATTTGACGTAATATAAAATTTGACGTCGAATTTTACCCTGAAAGATTTTCTCTATGCAACGGCTTGTTTATTAAGAGATTGTATTTTTTTATTTTTATTTTATAACTGAATATGATTTTAAAAGGCCAGATGATTATTTGAATAAAATTTGAAAATGGTTGGCATAGTTGCCAGTTGCTAATACTTTAAAGAGACTTTTCAATTATTTTTTCAACTGAAACATTTTTGTTAACTGAAATTAATTTAAATGGAATTAATTCCATTACATACCAGTGTACTCCCTTCCGAACACTCTAAATTCAGGTCTCATCCTTAGGTTCTAGAATCTGTTCATAAAATCACTCCATCATTTCTACCTAAAAGGTTACGCTTAACTTTAGTTTTTAATTTTTAACTTTCTATCTTTTGACTTATTTTTATTATAGTTTATTATTTTATTTTTATTTTATTTTTAATATTTTATTTTAAATAATAATTTTCATTATAACTTACTTATTTTATTATAATTCTTGTTTAAGTTTTTGTGCATATATAAATGTACATTATATTAACTGTTATATATATTAAAAAGTCTGATTTTTTTGGTAAAATTAAATAAATTTTTATGCAATTTTACTTTTATTAGTTAATATTATGTTTACTTATTTAACTTAACTTCCTTTTATAACCTTTTATATTATTTATTTTATATTATTTTTTATCTTATTTAGGTCATTGTGCTTTATTAGAGAATCACTATTTGCAATGACCTGTGTTTTTGTAACATCTGTAACACGAAATATATTGTTTTGTTGTTGTAAAAATTGTTGTAACATTTTATTATATTTTATTAACATTTATTTTTTTTTATTAACATTAATATATTTTCTTTTCCAAGTAACGTAAAAGTCTAAATTATTCTTTCTTTTCTATGCAAAAAAAAAAACTAGTATAAAAATAGAAAAATTAAATTTACTTTTGTTATTTACTTATTTTTATTCATTAACTGACCCAAACGGTTAAACTCGAAATGTTTCAACGAGTGTTTTATATTTTGTATTGCTGCTCTTATGTTTGAAGTTAGTATAAGTATTATGGTTATTATGTTCGTAATAAATATGTTATTAACCTTTTTGTTATTTTTTGGAATATGCGCACAAAAAGTCATCAATCAATAATGATAGATATACCTTCAATAAAAATATAAAAATAAGAAGACACTGCATTACAATAACGTTTGAGACTCTTTAGATTCCCAAAACTGACGCATTGTTGGTTTCCGAAGCTTTGTACTTTTGAACCTTTATAAAAATTCATACCCAGACGTGCTTTCGTATATAATATTGCGAAATCCAATTTGTTTGTAAATATATACGTTCATATATGCATTGTGCATAATCGCAGCAGATTCTTCGTTAACTAACTGACTAATTAAGTTGGTTATGAAAAAAACTTTTAATCTCTCCATTTAATATTTTTTTTAAATATAAAAAACCAAATCAAATCAAATATATTGTGAATAAAGTTGTTATATCAAGGATATTTACAAATAGTAATTAGTGCTAATATAAAGTAAACACCTGACTGACTCATTAAAAATAAAAAGGAGATAATAATAATTTTAATACATGTAGGAATAATAAAAGTAATAGTAGTGATTAAAAATAAATAAAGCGATCTCAAAAAGTATATACAATAATAACAATAATAATAGTAATAGCAACAATAATAGTTATACCAATAATTGCAACAACAATATTAACATAAAAAAAATTGCATAAAACTAGTTATAACAACAATGGCAACAACAGTAATAATAATATTCATTATGATAAAAATATAGTAATAACAACAACAATAGTCATAGATATTTTTTTTCAGTTTAAAATATTTAATTTAATAAATGATATTAAAATTAGTATTATATAACAATAGAAAAGAGAAAAAATAAAAGATGAATAGGAGCTCCGAGTTAGGGTTATAAATAAAAAGTTTTAAAAAGTTATATGATTTATGAACATTATTTTTTCTAAAAAATGGTTAAAGAGAGCAGCTTTAAATTTTGAGAATGATTCGAGAGATTTCAATTGGGAAGGGAGATTGTTTCAGGTTTGTATGCTTTTATGTTGTATGGATTCATAGCCGTAATGAACAGTACGGTATTTAGGTACAGATAATTTAAAATTGAAAGCAGATCGTAGAAAGTAGTTATAAATTTCCTTATAACTAAAAAACTTGATAAATGTAGGAGGTAGTTTATTATGATTTAAGTTCCAAAAAATTGGCTATTCGATATTTGAATAAGGTCACACAATTTACGGACTTTAAATAAAAAATAGAGTATGCAACAGTTCAAATTATAAAATGGAAATTATTATAACTTATAACCGTTTACACCAGAAGTTCTTATGGCACAAATTAGAATTCCTTTGTGCTTAAATAATTCCATTTATAAATTTTTTTCTTCAAAAAAAATTTCTTATTAGAGTTATTTGTGAATTATACCAACTAATAAAATTGTCCAGAGGGAATTATATCAATCGCTAACAAAGTTCATTGGGAACGATCCTTTTCTTTAATAATGTGTATGGGAATTATTTGTGTACCAATTATTGCATCATACTAAAACCTATTGAAATACTAGATAGCGCTGTTTTTATGTAAATACACATGTGTACAATACCGTAATATTCAGAATTTACATCTATCACTTATAGTCATTAAAAAAAAAAAAAAAGATTTTGGTAACTATTTAGGACCTATAGAATGGGGATCAGTGGGGAGCACATTGAAGTTTAAAAAAATATGTTTTTAGGACACCCTACTCAACATGGTCAATTTTGAAAAAGCTGATTTTTTATCCATATCATTATATTAGTACGTAGAACCTTCAGACAAAATAACAATACTAAAAAAAATTTTTTTACTGGAGATATGACCTTACAAAAAAACAATAAAAATTTATGATGTCGAACTTGTGACGCTATTTGTTGGGCCATAGGCTAAATTCAAGGCATGATATGAAAGTTCTATTAAATAACTTGCAATCTGCACCTTTGCTTTATGAAGAATCGAATCCATGTTTTTAAAATAGATTATAATTTTATCGCAAAAATATAAAACCCCAAAAATACGATTTTTAGCAACTGATATTGAAATATGGGTAAGCCTTACAAAAAGTACCACAAAATCCAAAACAACATTTTGACTTAAAACTTTGGTAACGTCCATGAAACATGTCTAACTACATACTGACAAAGAGATACATGTTTTTTTTTTAATAAGCATATGAAATTTTTGAAACAGGCTCGGGTATGCTTAAGCAAAAAGTTAAAAGAGGCTCAAAAATATGCTTAAACTTAAGCATATTTCTAATAAAATATGCTTATTTCTATACTTTCTAAAAGTGCGCGCGTTACAGGTTATAAAAAAAATAAAAAGTTGACTTTTGTACAGTATAACAAAAAATAAAAAATATATACTATATACAAATGTTATCAATGAAATCAAAGATATGAACTTCGCATTCCTTCTCGTCCGGACCCATAAAGGTGTCATCTGGAAGAATTTCGTTGGCATCTTCATTTATAGCATCATCTACCTCCACCGGTTGAATATCACTTTGATTTCCCTTGGGTTGATCACTGTCAGGATCAATGATGGATGGTGGGGGCACTTTGTAACTGTCAAGGCCCTCTAGTTTAACAAGCGAATCTTCTGAGCCATCAGAAGTCATTAAACACCCAGTCATCGTCCAACATTTCTTCCTTTTCTTGTCATACTTAGAAGTGTTTAAAGCTTTCCATGCTTCCCCTGCCCAATGTGTAATCAAAATTCGTCTCTCTTTTGCAGTGTAGGGCGTTTCATTACTGAACTATCTATCAGAATGATTATCTCTATCAAGCCATTTTTGATGTTCGGCATCAACTGTTTGCCAAAATTCAGTGGCACTTGGTAGACCGTACCAGAGAAGTCCTTTAGCAGCAGCCACAGCATCTTTAAAATCCTCCTGCATCTGTCCCTTCAAATTGTCCAGCAATGACTTCTTTACTTCATAAAGTCGTTGCACTGCAAAACATAAACTTCGATTTTTGTTGTTTTTGTAGGCTTAAATTTAGAAATATATATATTTAAAATTTTTAATTGAATAAATTTAAATCTTTTAAATGGTTTATCGAGGCTCAGGAATAGGCTTACATATGCTTATTTTTTTTCCAAATCTGAGCCTCCATATGCTTATAAACGTTATACTTATAAAAAAAAAACATGAGGTCGAGTGGATATGATTCCGGAAATTACACCGTTTGGCGTGGAATGACCCTATATCAAGTTAAAATGCTAGAAATGATTTATTTACTAATAACTATCAACTAATAACACACATTATAATAACTAATAGTAATAACTAATATAGTATTAATAACTTGTATCGCGACCTTCCTGCAACTGCTATTAATTATTTTGTCGTGAAAAGTGATTCGAAGCGGCATTTATAGTTTTTAACAATTTATTTCTAAGAACACCTGATATAAGAACACAGCTCACGAAAATCA